GGCGTTTCAGTGGCCGGTCGGCACGTGAAAAGAAACACCGTGTCGCCGTTTTTATTCCAATTTAACACTAGAAATCCGTAAAACATCTGATAAAAACGGCGAAACAGTTTATTTTCACGGGGCGACCGGCCACTAGAACACCTGTGGGACCGTTTTTTCACCGTTTTTTCTAACAGTGTACTAAAGGCAACTTACGACGGTGAACTTGACTTGTAGGGCGACCTCTTGGAAGTGCAGTGAAGCTGGCCTAAATAATGTCATCTTACAACAGAACGCAATAAGAAAGCTGGCCTAAATAATGTCATCTTACAACAGAACGCAAGAAAAAATTCTCAAGGCAACTCACGACGGTGAACTTGACTTGTAGGGCGACGCTGCGTCTCTTGATGCCCGCGGTGCCCGTGGTGAAGGCTCGCCTGATGGAGGAGGCACGTCGCAGGCTCTGGGCGCTCTCAATGCCCACCACAGAGCCTCCTGACGCAGAGCCGTTCACGAGGCTGCTGCTCGACACGGCTCCTCGGCTCGCCACGAACAGCCGGCTCACGCTCTCTCTGGACGAGGAGATAGTAGTGGAAAGCTTCAGTTATCAGAAAGACACGGCTCACGGTGTAGTTATTATTATTATTTTATTATAATTATTATTATTATTATTATTATTACAGACGGCTCACGCTCTCTCTGTGATAGTGGGCAATAGATAGGAGATAGTAGTGGGATGCTTCAGTGATCAGAAACAAACGGCTCACGGTGTACTAGTTATTATTATTATTATTATTGTTATTATTAAAGACGGCTCAGTAATCAGAAACAGCCAGCTCACGCTCTCTCTGTACGAGGAGATAGTAGTGGCGGGATGCTTCAGTGATCAGAAACAAAGGGCTTTATTTAGATACAATTAAACTGGTTAGTTACAAGCAATATATTCAGTTATTGGCAATATAACTTGGGCAATACAATGGTTTACTTACAGGCGATTATTACTATTATTTTGAGAAGTATCTATCGTGGCGTCTGGTTCAAACGAACTTCGAGGACACGTTACACACAAGTTTAATAGCAAGCGATAAATAAATAGACACAAGAAAGGATGAGAACGGAAAAAATGACTAAGCACTAGATTCATAGGCTATACGAAACAGTTCCGTCTTCAGGTGTCTACGAAACGCCTGCAACGAAGGAGCTGAAGTTACGGAAACCGGTAGATATATCTGATTTGTTAAAGGCGACATAATTTTCTAGTCATAGCAAAATTACTCTCTATTACTTGATTTGAATGCCATAGAACCATGTACCCAGCTATTATTAGTCTGGCGCTATATTAATTAGCTATAGTAGCTATATTAGCTATACGTATAAGCGATATTAGCTATATTATCTATATTAACTTTATTAGCTATATTAGCTATATTAATTAGCTATAGTAACTATATTAGCTATATTATCTATCTATATTAATTAGATATAGTAGCTATATTAGCTATATTAGCTATACAGGGTGGAGCGCGGTAATTTGCTTATTTGCACTGCATGCTGTGGCGGCACTGACGGTTGAAGACAGACGAGAGTGGTCGTGGCATACAGTGGATGGCGGGAAATTTGTATTCGTCTGGCTCTCAGTTGCCATCATGCAGTGGACACGTGAGGAGAGGTCATTTTGTGTAGAAGCGTATTTTTCAAATGCCCACTCGATCATTGCCGTGCAGCGTGTTTTTCGTTTACGATTCGCTGTTCCTTCACGTGGACGTGTTCCTGGACGGCAATCAATTGTAAATTGGGTGAATGCATTTAGAACAGCAGGGAATGTGTCATGTCTACGAAAGGGACCTGAGAGAAGGATTACAACACCGCGAAACATCGAGAGAGTTAGAGCAGCAGTACTGCAATCTCCGAAACGCTCTGCTCGGAAGCAATCATCTGCTCTTGGCATTTGTCGATGTCCATTTGTCTATTTGTCAATGATACAGGATTATTTTCAGCCAGCTCTTGAGGCAATGGAATTAGAGGATACATGGTTCCAACAGGATGGTGCCACTGCACACACAGCAAGGGTTACCATGAATTGTTTGAGGCAAATGTTTCCTGGACGGCTTATCTCTTTGAGGGGTGATGTGACCTGGCCAGCACGCTCACCAGATTTAGCCCTATGCGATTTTTCTCTTTGGGGTTACCTGAAGGCTAAGGTGTATATCAACCGCCCCAACACCTTGGAAGACCTAAGGAACAATATTGAAGCTGAAATTGGCAGAATACCAGTGGGCATGCTTGTTAGAGTTCATGAAAACTTCAGAAAACGTATGCAGCAGTGTGTGGAATGCGATGGTCGACATTTGCCAGGTGCACTATTTAAAACCATGTAATTTATAAATTCCATTACCGTTCAGTATAATACAAATATCAAATAAATTTTTCTAGTGATCATAATTTTTTTATTTCATTCCCAAATCAGCAAATTACCGCGCGCCACCCTGTATAAGCGATATCAGTATAAGCGATATCTATATTAGCTATATTAGCTATTTTAACTTTATTAGCTATATTAGCTAGTAAAAAAAAAGTCTAAAAAGTGGTCTGGCGCTGACTTTTTAGACTCCTGCAGGAGTATGGGCGCCTGCCAATATAATACGAGGGCTTAGGGCTTATATCACCCAGGTGATATAATATAATATAATATACTTAATTAAGTTATTGAATTGTAGCAAGACTACTGCATAAATCGTGTTTAATATGGCAAAAGCAACTCAAAACAAAAAAGGTTATCATTTCAAGGAAAAATCAATTTTCCATCAGGGCTTTAGAGACCTTAAGTTTAGTATGTTTGTTAAATGAAATCATGGTAATTATAGACCAGAGGTGCTACTCTAACTTAAAAAACGCAGTAAAGTGAAAAATATGATTAAAATAGACTCCCGTGGAAGGAAGAAGTTCGCTAAAACGATCACTACGCGAAATATTTCCAAATTAATGGAATTCTGTGAACAATGTGCACTGAACGCATGATTTCGAGATTGATGAATAGGTGTTGCTCGTAAATAAAGAATTAACTCGAAATTCGAACGAAAAATGTCTTGAAGAAACAATACTAATTCGTTCCGCTAGTGGTTGAGACAAGACAACCGAGAATTGCTCATTAAGTTCAGCGACTTGTTAATTTAAATAACCACGGATAGCAGCGCGAGTTGGAAGAACCAAACGTGGCTGATAGAAAAATTTTGCCGATCTCTCTAATCAAAGTAAACAGCATTTTTCATTTTAATAAAATCTACACTGTTAGAAAAATGACCGTTAACGGTATTACCGGCGTTTCAGTGACCGGTCGGCACGTGAAAAGAAACACCGCGTCGCCGTTTTTATTCTNACACGGTGTTTCTTTTCACGTGCCGACCGGCCACTGAAACGCCGGTAATACCGGTAACGGTAATTTTTCTAACAGTGTAAACCTCGCTAGATTATCATTCTCTCACCTCTCTCAGCGTAGTGAGCGAAGAGCCTCTCTAGGAAGGACTGGTCGGTGGCGCCTGGGAAGATGGCCTCCTCGTCAAGAAGCCATAAGAGGCCACGTCGGTCGGCCTCACGCAGGTCTTGTTGGGACGTGCGCACGACGCTGTTCGTCGCAGGCTTGTCGATGAGGGCGATCAGAGGCGCGGGAGTACCCAGTGCCTCGGACACGTCGCCGCACTCCACGTGTTCCTGACCAGGGTTAAAGTCAACCTTGAAGGTTTTGAATATTTTTTTTCTGCAAATGACTAATTACGAGCTTAATTTAAAACCCCAATCGTACAATCTATGCGAGGGACGGTCAACATTCAGGTTAAAGTCAGCCGTGAAGGTTTTGAATATTTTTTTCTACAAACGACTAATTACGAGCTTAATTTAAAACCCCAATCGCACAATCTATGCGTAAAAATTCTTTAGGTTTTATCCTGACGAGGGATGGTCAACATTCAGTCGAGCCGTGAAGGTTTTGAACTACAAGATGAAGTTTTTTCTACAAGCGACGGATTACGAGGTTTATTTAAAACCCCAAACAAACAATCTATGCGAGAGACGGTCAACATTTAGGTTAACCGTGAAGGTTTTGAATATCATGATGAAGTTTCTTTTTCTACAAGCGACTAATTACGAGGTTAATTTAAAACCCCAATCGCACAATCTATGCGTAAAAATTCTTTAGGTTTTATCCTGACGAGGGATGGTCCAACATTCAGGAGAGCCTTGAAGGTTTTGAACTAAATTAATTTTTTTCTACAAGCGACGGATTACGAGATTAATTAATGCCCCAACGCACAATTTTTGCGACAAATATTCTTAAGGTTTATTTGTCCACGGATACGTTAGCCGTTGTCAATGATCTTCGTATTGAAGGCATGCGATAGACAGAGGAGTATACGAAGAGATTTGCCACTTCCCTGCAATATGCAGAGTAGATAGAATTAAATACCGCATAAATGTACAAGTTGAGGTAATACGATATGTAGTTTATAGATGAAGTTTAAAGGGTAGCTTAATAGAGACGTAGTTTAGAGCATTCATAGTAATAAAGAAGATGTCTATTGATGTCTAGGTTTGATCAACTCCACGTAGCTATATATTAGCCCCATGAAGAGGGCACTGTTTCAAATTGTTACAGGGGCACGATTTTTTTCGAATATTGAGAACACAATTGTGAATGAAATTCGTTTTTGAATTCCCTTCACTCACAATACTAGGCTCAATGTACAGCACCATCTATACCTGTGCGTATCTGTCTGCCTGTACACTGTACAGCCTCACCATACCTGCGCATGTCTGTCTGCCTGTGCACTGTACAGCCTCACCATACCTGCGCGTGTCTGTCTGCCTGTGCACTGTACAGCCTCACCATACCTGCGCATGTCTGTCAGCCTGTGCACTGTACAGCCTCACCATACCTGCGCGTATCTGTCAGCCTGTGCGGTGAAGGTGGTGTCGTGGCACAGCATCTGCAGGCGCTCCTGCGTGTAGTTGTGGCAGAGGTCCCCGAAGGAGGCGCCCGAGGTCCGGCCACAGGACGCAGGGTTCTGGAGGCCCGGCGTGTCCACCACCAGGATGGAGTTCACCGTCTTAGCGGACCCCGAGATGCATCTGGAGGACAGAACTTGCAGCTAATTATGCTGGTTCTGATGGTAAGAACATCTGGAGAATAAATGTGCAGTTAAATATGCTAGTTCTAATGATGAGAACATCTGGAGAACAGAACTTGCAGTTAAATATGCTAGTTCTAATGATGAGAACATCTGGACAACAGAACTTGCAGTTAAATATGCNAATGTCCCGGTAACCAATTTCTGGTAGCCTTTAAAGTTTAATGTCCCGGTAACCAATTTCTGGTAGCCTTTAAAGTTTAATGTCCCGGTAACCAATTTCTGGTAGCCTTTAAAGTTTAATGTCCCGGTAACCTAATGCACTAAGATGAAGAAAAAATAAGACTCAGCACAAATGAAACAGAGCAAAGGTGGCAACTCGAACAATGGCATCATACATTAGATTGGAATAAATTTCATGTTGATTAAATAACCGAATTCCGGCATGATTTAATAGACCATATAATGGTTTAACAGCGATAAGCACGGTAGACATAACTGCCTCTTCTTCGCAGTATTTCTAGTGAGCAAAGGACACTCGCCTGTTCATGACACACTCGTCTGTTCATGACACACTCGCCTGTTCATGAGGACACACTCGCCTGTTCCTGAGGACACACTCGCCTGTTCATGACACACTCGCCTGTTCATGAGGGTGACGACAGCATTGAAGGCCTCAGCATAGAGGCCAGCAGCCATGCCCTCGAGGGCCTCTAGGCCCTCCAGCTGCTTGTGGCCCCGGCCTCCCGCGCGGTCCAGGGGCGAGCTCGACCTGCAATACCCAGCACAGTCGTCAGGGGGTATAACAAGACTAAACAGCTTATTAATAAAGAAACAAACTTATTAATAAAGAAACAACTTCATAATAAAGAAACAACTTCATAATAAAGAACAACTTCATAATAAAGAAAGAACTTCATAATAAAGAAAAAACTTCATAATAAAGAAACAACTTCATAATAAAGAAACAACTTCGTAATAAAGAAACAACTTCATAATAAAGAAACAACTTCATAATAAAGAAACAACTTCATAATAAAGAAACAACTTCATAATAAAGAAACAACTTCATAATAAAGAAACAACTTCATAATAAAGAAACAACTTCATAATAAAGAAACAACTTCATAATAAAGAAACAACTTCATAATAAAGAAACAACTTCATAATAAAGAAACAACTTCATAATAAAGAACAACTTCATAATAAAGAA